TTTAGTGACCAATTTTATATCTTCCTTGAATATTCATATTTATTCATATCTCTTGCCCACTTTGTAATTGTCTTTTTATGAGTTTTAGTATTTTTTATATATTCTGGATACAAACCCTTGATGTGACCATGTACAAATATTTTCTGCCATTCTGTGAGTTGTCTTTTCAGTTTCTTGATGGTGTCTTTTGATGCACAAGCAATTCTAATTTTTGTGAAGTCCAATTTGTCTATTTTTTTGCTCGACTGTGCTTTCTATGTGCTAATAATTCATTGTCTACTCTAAGATGACAAAGATTTACTCCTATGCCTTCTTTTTTTTTTTTAAAGATTTATTTCATTTATTTGAAAGACAGAGTTATAGAGAGAGGGAGAAACAGAAAGCGAGGTCTTCCATCCACTAGTTCACTCCCCAGATGGCCACAACAGCTGGAGCTGTGCCTATCCAAAGCCAAGAGCCAGGAGCTTATTCCAGGTCTTCTACGTGGGTTCAGGGGCTCAAGGACTTGGGCTATCCTCCACTGCTATCCCAGGCCGTAGCAGAGAGCTGGATCAGAAGAAGAGCAGCCAGGACTGGAACCGGCGCCCATATGGGATGCTGGCACTGCAGGCGCCGGCCCCTCCTATGCCTTCTAAGAGTTTTTTTTTTTAATATTTTATTTATTTATTTGACAGGTAGAGTTACAGAGAAAGGGAGAGACAGAGAGAGACAGAGAGAGAGAGAGAGGTCTTCTACCCACTGGTTCACTCCCCAAATGGCTGCAACAGCTGGAGCTGGGCCATTCTGAAGCCAGGAGCCAGGCCAATCTGAAGCCAGGAGCCAGGATATTCTTTAGGTCACCCACTTGGGCCATCTTCCACTGCTTTCCCAGGCACATTAGCAGGTAACTAAATCAGAAGAGGAGTAGCCAGGACATGAACTAATGCTGCAGACAGAGGCTTAGCCTATTAGACCACAGTGCTGGCCCCTCTTCCAAGAGTTTTGTAGTTTTCACTTACATTTAGATGTTTGATCTATTTGAGGTTAATTGTTGTATATGGTGTAGGTAGGTATCCAAATTCATTCTTCTGCGTGTGGCTATCCAGTTATCAGCTGCTAGTTACTGAGTCCTTGATGTTAAACATCTTTTCATGAGCATTGCCCACTTTTGTATTTCACTATTCAAGTCATTTGCCCATTTTTCAATTGAGTTCTTTTTTAAAAAAATTTATTTTACTTATGCAAAAGGCTGGGAACATCTGGTTTTCCTGCCCTTTTGAGTGTCAGCTCAGAACAGGTCTATGTGGCTGCTGACCCCTGCCCCAGTCCATACCTAACAAAGCATGGCTTCTTTCATTGGTTTGCAGATCCCTACAGGCTCTGGAGGGAATCTTAAGGGCTGATTATAAGTTATAAAATGTTTCCAACTAGATTATATAGGTACAATATCTTCAGTATTGCATTATTGGGACTTAACAATCTCTATTTACGGATGACAACATGGTGTGTCCTTAGATTGACCTCAGAAAGTAGATCACAAAGGTGGCTTTTTCACATGGATGTACTAGTACTCTGAAATATCCAAATCTGTGAGCTTATCGAATTCCATCACGTGAATTAATCTTGGCAGTGGTGGGTAGTGTGGCTGTACTATCTGTATTCTGGGTTCCACTTTGCAAAATGTATCCATTTTAGGAAACCACTCTTTCTCAAGTTTTTCGTCTATAGAAGTCATTTGTTTTGTCACTGTAGCACATGTCAGCAGAAAAGTGAGAACAGGTGCCGTAAGTTTAAGAAAAATGTGTTCAAAAATTTTTTAAAAATTTAAATTTAGCATATTCTAACAACAATCTAATTTGAGCTGCAAAACACTTCAGTTGGGTAGGAAGCAACTGCTTAAAAGAAGGATAATTTTAGAACTGCTGATGCAGAGTTTAAAATTTAATTTATGCACATAGTATTTTATCAAAAGCACAAAGGTCCTGTTGTAGTACAATCAACCATGCCAACTATGGACTTTGATTCGGTCTTCAGCTTTTTTAGTTCATCGAGCACCCATTGGCTGCCTGGTAGCAGGAACCCTGTTGAAGTCTGGGTTTAGCAAAGGATTAGGAGCACATGGCAAGAAGAGATTGGTTCCAATTCAGAGTAGGGCAGACCTGGGAGAGCTTTCTGGAGCTGACATCTGAGCTGAATTGGAAAGGCCAGCAGACATGGGGTTGGGAAGGAAACAGTGTGGGCAAAGACTTAGAAAGTGTCCATGGTGACAACTGAGGAAGTGCAGGGAACCTGGCACCCCTGGAGTATAGAATGAATTGAGGATATAGTGGGGTGAGCAGTTAGAAAGTCAGAGAAGAGCCACATTGGACAGTCTTGATAATATCAAACTAATGGGTTTGGACTTGACTCTGTAGGCACTAGGATGCTTTGGAGGGCTTTTGAGGAGGGCTGGCCATGATCACATCAGTGTAGAAGTAGGGCAAAATCAGGTTGAAGGTGGGGAAGAAATTAGAGACCATTCTGCAGTAATAAAATTCCCATCTTTCCCATTACATTTCAGTGAAAAAAAATCGCACAAGGTGGCCATCTTGTGATTTCTGGTATTTTTGATACAGAATTTCATGTGTTTAAATTTTAATGGTTAATTATGCCTCCAGCAAAGTGAGTGCTCCTCTGATCTGGTATTTTTAGCAGTGGCTAAGCAAAAGCTTGAAAGAGCAGCACTGATAAAACATACACGTCCCCCCCTTTTTTTTTTTTTTTAATTTTGTCTTGGCAAGAATAACATCTGAGTCAGTACCCCAGATTTTCTCCAAGGAAAAGAGTTACCAAGTTTTGCATTTTAGAGACAGGACCAGGAAATGTGACCATATAGCAAAAAAAAAAAAACGTGACACAAAGCAGGACTGTTAGATGAAATTCAGTCCCCATGTTAGCACTACATCCAGCTGCCTGGGTTTGTAATCCAGCCCCAGCACTTGCAGGCTGTGTAACTTTCGGCATGTTACTTAACCATTCTGTGTCTTGGTTCTGCCATCTGTAAAATGGGAATAACAATAATATTTACCTCCAGTGTTGTGGTAAGGATTAAATAAACCGATACCTGTAAGGTGCTCTCAGTAGCACCTGGCATGTAGCAAGAGCTCAGTACATGTGTACTGTTTTCATTAAGCTGTCGGTCAATAAATATGAAATAACTGTCCATGGCACAGTGTAGCTTACTGAGCCTCTTCACAAATCCAGGAGGTCTCTGAGCTCCACAGTCGAGGGATGCTAGTCGTTCTAATTACCGTTGTTGCTAACAGACCACCCCAAAACCTAGAGGCATGAAAAAACCAAGTGCTTCTGCTCACAGGCCCTGTGAGTCAGGAATTCTGAAAAGGTACAGCGAGAATGGCTTCTCTCTGCTTACCATACCCAGGGCTGCAGCTGGAGAAAGACCAGTGAGGGGAAGGGTGGAGCTGGAACTGCTGAGACTGGCAGATCTGCTGCCAGATGTCTTTGCTAACCTCCCTGGAAATTGGTGGAATGCCTGTCCCCCAAGTGCCGGCACGTGGCCTCTACCATGGTAGTTTCAGGACAGTCATTGCAAAAAGCTTACAGTCTTTTGATGACCCGGCCTCAGAAGTCAGAGTGGACACTTCCTGTGCACTGTCAGTAAAGGAGTCACAAATCTGCCCAGACTAGGGGGAAGGCAAGACCACAGCTCTCCATGGAGGCTTTTGTAAGAATTTGGAGAAGATTTTACAATCACCACAGTGATACTAGTTTCTGATTCTGGATGAGAGATGATCACTTAGTAGAGGTTAATATGCCCGGAGGTTGATTTGCTCAGCAATACTAACTCGAACAGTTAGCAAGGGGACTGTTGGGAGGAGGAAAATGACTTCTAACGGTTCTTCTTTAAACTTTCTTTCCATGAGAGTATTCATCCTCCTTCAGCTAATAAATATTTGCTGAAATGTGAAAGTGCAAAAGAAAGAAACTTAACCAGCATTGAGTACATTAGGTAACTTCTCTAAAAAGACAGAGATGTAAACATATAAGGTTGCAGAGGCTGGGAACCAGAGAGGAAGAAGAAGGTAGGGAGACGGTGGTTGAGGGGAACAGGGTACAGCTGGATGGGAGGAATGACCTCTAACATCCTATAGCACAGTAGAGTCACTGGTTGGCAGCAATTATCGTGCATTGCAAAATGCTAGTAGAGGGGATTCTGTACGTTTCCAACACAAAGAAATGTGTTTGAGGTCATGAATATGCCACTTACCTGTTGTATATGTGCATTGAAGGGACCTTTTACCCCATACATATGTATAACTACTATGTGTCAATTAAAAATTTAAAATACAGGCGGACAGCGCTGTGGCGCAGCAGGTTAAACCCTGGCCTGAAGCGCCAGCATCCCACATGGGCACCGGTTCTAGTCCCGGCTGCTCCTCTTCCGATCCAGCTCTGCTATGGCCTGGGAAAGCAGTAGATGGCCCAAGTTCTTGAGCTGCTGCAATCACGTGGAAGACCCAGAAGAAGCTCCTGGCTCCTGGCTTCAGATTGGCACAGCTCCAGCTGTTGTAGCCATCTGGGGAGTGAACCAGCAGATGGAAGACCTCTCTCTCTGTCTCTACCTCTCTCTGTAACTCTTTCAATAAATAAAAATAACTGTTAAAAATACAGTAGTTTGGCCAACTACAGCTGCATGTGTGACCATGCTCCCCTAAGATTATATCATCTAGTGATGTTGTAGCCATCAAGTACACTCCATGATGTTAATACAGTGATGAAATCATGTTACGATGCATTCCCCAGAACAGGTCCCCAGCATTAGGTGACACAAAACTGTGTTTTAAAAATATGAGGTTTGCATTTATAAGAGCTGGCACACAAAGTTCATATTCGAGGGGGTTTCTGGGATGAGTTCAGTCCTAAGATTGGCCAGACAGCAATTCTGTGCCCTTTTCTCACAAGGGAAGAAAGAGCTCTGCAAATGTCCCAGATACTTCATGGTGATTTCCTCTGTTCTCTAGGAAAGTCTCACTTGGCCATTGTCCAGCGGGTGAATAATGAGGGGGAAGGGGACCCCTTCTACGAGGTGATGGGCATTGTCACACTGGAGGACATCATAGAGGAGATCATCAAGTCCGAGATCCTGGACGAAACTGACCTCTACAGTAAGTGCATGGCCTCGGCTGCTCTCCGTTGCCATCCTGTTTGCCTCAGAGACTCTCGGGGACAGCCCAGTTTGATACAGTGTGAACCAGTGTCAGAACAAGCCCTGTGCACTGATGTGTGTCAGCCACCTCTGCCAAGCGGCTTAAATCACCCATGAGTCACTGGGAACAGCTGGCTAACTGCTTACCCAGAGGGCACCTTCAGGAGCTCAGCCAAGACTAGGAAAGGAGACCTCCCAGCCTTTGCTTGGGAAACACAGTGTACCCAGGGTGGAGCCCAGAGGCCTCTCTGCCCTGTGTCATTCCTTTGTTGTCTCTCCTACGTGCACACAGACCCCGGCAGACCTGGGGAGTCCAAGTCACAGTCCGCTCACACCACACCCCAGGGAGTGAGGCTGCCCACCCCATCCTAAACCCTCAGTGTCCATGTGCCTGCTCAGGCACTGCACTGCTCTCTTAGGCCTTTCAGCCCACCACACAGGTTTCTCTTCCCGCCCCTTCACCCTGGACAAGGCACCTGCCTGGCTCCAGTCCCTGGCCCCTTCTGTCTGGACTCCTCTCCTTCCTTCTCCCTCCCCTGGAACAACAGGAACCACTGTATGCAGGGAGTGGCTGTTTGGGTTACTGAGCCTTATCAAAGCTTTGCTTGCAAACATTACAAAGGCCGCCCTGTCTCTGGGTCTCCGGGACAGGAGTGTTATCCCTGGGCCAGCATGCATTTCCTCCTCCGGATTTCATCTCTTCCTCCCCTCAGATAACTCATTTCAGACCCCTGTCCTTTGCTAGAAGAAGCCTTTCAGAGTCCAGCTGCTGGTAGAAGCAACTCGGACACCGCACTGCAGTAAGGCAGTGAGCGGCACAGAAAGAGTGCTTTGCCTTTGGGCTAGGAAGGAATTCAAGTTGGATGATGGTCCTGGCCTTGGCAGGAATGAGCTGGAGTGTCCCAGCACCCCCACCAGGAAGCAGGTGCTGCTGCACCCCGGCGCCAAGCAGGGACTGAGCTCAGAAATGACCTGTCCCCCGCTACCCACCCAGTGCTCCCTTCTCCACCTCTGCCCACACCCTTATTTAGAATTCCGGGGAGTCTCAGTAGAAAGATTGATGAAGACATTCACACTGAGGTGTTAGTAGCTAACGGAAGTCTAAATGTGTCAGCTCCTCCCGGGACATTGGGTTGAGCAACCTGAATGCTGCAGACTCCAGCCATGAAATCAAAAGGAGGGGAGGAGGGTGCAGAGGTATGGTTCTCTAATGATGAGATGTTAACTGCCATTCTGAAGGGGAGATTGTTGAATGACACACATCGGAGGGCAGCAAAGGAACTGGGTCCCACACGCTTGTTTGCTACTCTCTTTCTCTACAGGAGGCAGTTAGGGTTTTTCTAGCCAAATAAGTAAATTGTTGAAAGACCAAGGATCCAGAAATACTATGTTTCTTCTTCCATGACCCTGACCGCCTGCAGGTCCCGACTCCTGGGTCTGTACCTCCCCACTGCTGTGAGCAGAGCAAGGGGCGTGTCCGTGCAGGAGCCAGGTGACTGCAGAAGCCTAAAGTCAAAGGCAGCCCCTGAGAGCTGTGTGGCGGGGAAGGGCACTGCCCCCCTCTACAGGGAGACCCAAAGGAGCTGGCAAGAGCACCCTCCAAGAGGGAAGGGAGCGTAGAGGGGAACCAGATTGTGGGGCCCTGTTTTCATTCCGCAGGGGGTTATTCCATTTCACTGTATCACATCCACTCAGCTTTCACTGAAGTTCCCTGCAGCCCTGATGTCTTCTGGTCAAGTCTAGAGAAAAACTTAAATCCCTCCCCAAGTTCCCCTAAAAGCAGATGAGATAGGCCAGCAGTTTCAATTTTTTATGCAAAATTCAGGAAAGCCAAAAGAGAAATGTCCATGGAAAAGCTCCCCACAGCAAATTAAATTGGGAAAAAAAATTTTTTCAGTCAATAATCACATACCCAATATACGGGCTCTTGGGGGTACCAGGCCATGCCGCAGGCCCCTGCTCACCTTCATAGATTACAGGTCCATTCCTATTTCTTTCCTTCTTCCCCGGATTTCCCTCCATTCTCCCCCCGTGGAGGGCCTGGGGTTGAAGCAGGAGAGGTGACTGTTCTCATCCCTTGTATGGCCTCTGGTACCACTCAGACCCTGGTTTAAATCAGCAGAGAGACCAGGTGAGCTCAGTTCTGGGGATAGGGAAGCACTGGGACCCACCAACCCCCTTGATGCTAAGGAATGCAAGTACCTCCTGTGTGTGTGACTTTGTGCAAGCACTTTCATGGTAGCTTCTGGTTGTAGTCTCATAATAACTGCATGGGATGAGTAGGAAAGCTGTTGCTAACTGTCGTCAGCCTCTATATAGCTTCAGGCAAACAGAAACTGATGTTTAGATGTTACACAGCTAGACGGTGGGGGAGTCCTAGCACCTTGGACCTGGGAGCCCCACTCCAGTTTTTTCACTGTTACCACCTAAGTGTAGCTACCCTGAGTTGGTTAGAGCCATCTCCCACTAGAGAGATAGCCATCTCTATCCCTCAGCAACATCCTTCCACTCCCTAGGAAAGAGGTGTGGCCATGTCACCTGTGCTCAGCCCTGCAGAAATGTGTGTAGTCCCAGAGGATTTCCCTGTCTATGTGACTCTGGGAAAACCTCCAAAGACCAACAGTGATTCTGAGATAGCTGCCACCTGTCCCCTGTGACCCTACAGCCGACAATCGGAAGAAGCAGCGGGTCCCGCACCGGGAGAGGAAGCGGCATGACTTCTCCTTGTTTAAGCTCTCCGACTCCGAGATCAGGGTGAAGATCTCACCCCAGCTCCTGCTGGCCACACACCGCTTCATGGCCACAGGTAGGACCCTGCCCCGGCCCCCTGAGCCTCCAGTGCGGTTGAAGCAGAGTCTCTAGTGGACCAGAGATGTCAGTGCCTTCCACTCTCGTTCCAACTTGCAGCTGGCTCTGAGAACCACTGCTCTGGGAAGGAAGTTGCCTCACAGAGGGTAGCAGACGTCGCACGCTGTCATGTGCAGCCCGGACCTGACCGTCTAGGGACTGAAGTGGGAACAACTCAACTTGTTCTTCCTCTTCAGAAAAGTGCTAAAGAAACTACAGATGTGCTTTCCCCTTCCTCCATTGACTTCCTGGCTGGAGCCTGAGGCCAAGCCCATCCTGTTATTGGTGGGCTGCCCCAAGTATTTGGGCAGGAAAGTCATTTTCCTACACAACAACAAGACCCTAGGAGCCAATGCCCACAAGGGTTCTGAAAATACAGAAGTGGACTGTGAATCTTGGGGTCTTTAGCAAGAAAAAATGATGAGAGACTCCATGGGTAAACGCCTTGTGAGGAGGTAGAGTTTATCTTTGAACCCTCCGAGCCTCTCTCATCCATGCTAAGGCATGTGCTGCCCCACAGTGACCGTATCTGTCACTGGGCTCAACACACAACAACTCTAACACAGATGTGCTGAGTATAGTAGGAGTGCTGGAACTGTTCCAGGTGCTGATAAGTAGAAAATTTCAAGATGAGTTTTCTTTAAAAAAGGGTTTTCAACATGTTCTGTAGTTGTGAACAGGGATTTCTTGTAACTTCTGCCTGATTTTCTAGGGCAAATAGCTGCACTTGAATCTGTTTGATATAATAATATAAATTTATAATGATGAATACATACATAGTGATCCTATGTAAGTATGATGCAGTGAAGCCTCACCTTACTCACAACTTCTCACATAAAGAATGACCTGTCTCTATTTCTTGGGATTTCATTCCATTCAATAGGTGTATGTCTCATACATAAGCCAGAATAAGTCTCTGTATTTCACTCAGTCATACATTTCTTGTTCAAATGACTTAGTTACTATGCCCAACTTTAAAATCAAAGAGAAAATTAGTAACAAACTGACATTTCCAAAATGCTGACCTGCCCCTCCTGAGATGCACATACAGGGACACACTTGTCCAGAGGGATGCACACTTAGGTTTAAGATTGCCAACCCCAAAGATGCCTCGGAAGCCCTGCAGCTTGGTGCCCAGTAGCATGATGGGAGTGATGCTAGCCACAGCCCCCGTTTTACCCACTCTAGCTCCTGCCAGTTGCCACTGCGGGGAAAGGGTGGACACAGGAGGTGCTGATTCCTACTTTCCCCGACTCTTGCCTAGAAGTAGAGCCCTTTAAGTCTCTGTACCTCTCGGAGAAGATCCTGCTCCGGCTCCTGAAACATCCCAACGTGATCCAGGAGCTGAAGTTTGATGAGAAGAACAAGAAGGCCCCAGAACACTACCTCTACCAGCGCAACCGCCCCGTGGACTACTTTGTGCTGCTTCTGCAGGTAGGTGGGAACGTAAGGGCACTTCTGGGGGCAGGATAAAACCATGGCCACAGTGAAGAGGAATGGCCATGACTCCCTCCAGGAAGGCCAGTTGGCATGGACATTTCTGCATAACCACCAGTAGGGGTGCAGACGTGGAAGACTGGAGTCCTGGGAGTGGCAGGATCTTTGACAGCATTTATTCTGATCACTCAGCAGTGTTTGGGGTAGGGTGTGGTGAGTACTTCTGCAGCAGAGAGGTTCTGCTTTTGAACTTCCATTCCATAATACCTCCTTGTCTTGGCTTGAACATCCCCCAGAATGAAACTGCCCACTCCCTCCTGCACTTTAGACAATTCTTGAAGCCCTTCCTTCTGCTGAAGTCTCACCACCCTGTTCTCTGGGTGCAAGTGAAACACATTCTTTCTGCCACATTGCAGCCTCTCCAGAACATGAGTATTTCCTCCTTTACGAGGACTGGGAAGGGGAAAAAAATGGCCGAGTGAAAGAAGTACAGCATCTTCCGATGCTCACATCAGGGCGATCACCTTCTGCCTTGGCTGCCCGGACAGGCCTGTGTTCAATAAGAGTCAGGCATGGTTCCAGCTCATAGCACTGCTGTGCCCTGTCCTAGATGCTCCATTAGCTCTGTTGCTGATCCTCTGTCTCTTCCCAGCAGAGTTTTGTGGACTCTAAATAAAGGGATGGTTTACAATCTTGATGAAACGCACATTAACTTAGAAACGACCTCTGTTTGCTACAGTCCACCTCCAGCCTGTCTGCTCAGCCTCTCATTTGCCTCCCATATATCCTTCCAGCTGGCCTCAAGGAAGTGACTTCGCATACTTCACTGTTGGAAACAGAGAAGGGTCCTGCTACACTGTTTATATAATGTAATAAACACATACAACACACTGCCTTTTGCTGAATATAAACTTAAGTTTTCAAATAAAATGTGGAGGGAATAGGATGTAGCAGCAAGAGAGTAACCTCAGAAATTGTACAGATCTAGATTTTAAATTCCCATATTACCGTTTCTTGATGAAGCTTGACCAGGTTATTTATCCTCTGTGAGCCTCAAAATCGATTCGTCTGTAAACTGTGGGTGAAAACAGTACGATCCCCATATGGTTGTGAGGCTCACTGAAGAAGACTCTGTGCAGTGCATATAACACAGCACCAGCCCCATAGCCAAACACTCAATACCACACTTAAGCTGTCATTATTACTGGTGAAAACATTGTATTTTATCTCAGACTGAGAGTCTAATCCCAGACTAAATCAGTGGCAGTTTCTGAGGCCGTAGCTGGTACTTGGACCTGTGTCATCATTTCAAAGAAGCGTGGTTGTTCATAACCAGATGCTGCTTTATGAACAATGAAGCAATGAATTTACTGCAAAGAGCTACCAAAGTTGGAGGTTCTGCTTATGAAACGTAAATCTAGACAGAATTAACATTACCCTCTGATGAGAACAGCAGAAGTGCTTAGGATCCTCGTCATGCTCAAATAGACCCTTCGCACACTTCTTCTTTCTCCAGGGGAAAGTCGAGGTGGAGGTTGGAAAGGAAGGCCTTCGCTTCGAGAATGGAGCCTTCACCTACTATGGTGTCCCGGCCATCATGACCACTGCTTGCTCAGGTACTCCCGTTTCCAAGCCACTTCTCCACTTGCTGGAGAAGCAATGGAATGTTGTAGAAAAAGCATGTGAGTTCAAGTCTTGACTCCTGTAACGGATGTTGGACAAGCCATTTAACTTGCCTGGCTTTGGTTTTTCTCCTCTTCAAAGTGAGTATAAAAAATAAATTTTCACCCAGGGTTTGTGCTTAAGAAAAAAAGTGACAAAAAGAGGCCGGCATTGTGGCACAGCAGGTTAAGCCGGCATCCTATATGGTTCAAGTCTTGGCTGCTCTGCTTCAGATCCAGTTCCCTGCTGATGTGCCTGTGAAGCAACAGGTGATGGCTCAAGCACTTGGGCCCCTACCACCCACAAGGGAGACCCTGATGGAGTTCTTGGCTCCTGGCTTTGGCCTGGCTGTTGCAATTATTTGGGGAATGAATCAGCGGATGGAAGATATGTGTGTGTGTGTGTTACTCTGCCTTTCAAATAAATAAATCTTTTTTAAAAGGTGATAAAACTTAAGTAGGAAAAAGCAATCACATTAGCAAGTGTTCACAGTAGAGAATGATTTGTTTTAGCATGAAAATGCAAGTTTCTTTGGCTTTTTACACTGGTTTCTACCCTTCCATTTGATTGCCCGGTTTTTAGAGTTAACTGGTGCTATGGGTGGAGTGGGAGAGGGGAGATTCCCATAGGAAGGTGTGTTTTCGGACTTGCCTCTGAGACTGTATCTTTCTCTCCTTAGATAATGATGTACGGAAGGCTGGAAGCCTGGCTGGATCCTCTGTCTTTCGTATGTATTCCTCAAGCCCCTTCCTCGTCCTCCCTGTCACAGCGCTGCCTCAGCCCACTCTGGGGACCTGGACCAGGCACCTTGAGCCTGGGATGGGGCTAGCACAAATGCTGGCAGCCTCTTTGTAACACTCTGCCAGGAACACTGCTTTCTGCCAGGTACCCCTGACCCTAGGGACTTAGGTGCTGTGTGTCTGCAATGTTTCCTGTGGCTTCTCTGCTGATATGCAAGTGGTGAGCCCTAGGAAAGGAGATGAGCAGAGTGGTTGTGAGTGGAGGCCCTACTTACTGCCATCTGCCAAGGAAGGTGTGTGCTTTGCTGGGTGAAAATCCAGGCTTTCCTTCTCCACAGTGATGATTCACCTCCCTGCCTTTAACCGAAAACCCTCATGTGCTATTACTGTGTCTGTGGGGCTTGTCCTCAGTAGGACGTGGACCACAAGATTCGGGGATGTAAGCCCCGGGCTGGTGCGGTATATTGCTTATCTGCTTCTCTTTCTTTGTTCACGCCCTCCCAGCTGGCGGAGTGGTGGCTGCCAGCTGGCTGTGCATGCTGCTGGTGGGGCTGGCACGGGGCTGATGGCCAGTCTGCTCGTCCCCCTCTGTGCTGTGCCTTCCCCCTGCCTCCTGTGCGGTTACTGCACTTGTTTTTTTTTTTTTTTTTTTTTTTTTTTTTTTTTATCTTTTATTTAATGAATATAAATTTCCAAAGTACGTCTCATGGGTTACAATGGCTTTCCCCCCCATACCGTCCCTCCCACCCACCACCCTCCCCTTTCCCACTCCCTCTCCCCTTCCATTCACATCAAGATTCATTTTCGATTATCTTAGTATACAGAAGATCAGCTTAGTATACCTTAAGTAAGGATTTCAACAGTTTGTTCCCACACCGAAACATAAAGTGAAAAATAATAGATGATTTTTTTTTAAATGATGATGAAATCAGATCAGACCTATTGTCATGTTTAATCCCAGTGAGAGTCAAGTTGGGAATTGATAGTTTCTTTTCTTTTTTTTTTTTTTTAACAGAAGATCAGTTTAGTGTACATTAAGTAAAGATTTCAACAGTTTGCACCCCCATAGAAACACAAAGTGAAATATACTGTTTGAGTACTCGTTATAGCATTAAGCCTCAGTGTACAGCACGTTAAGGACAGAGATCCTACATGAGGAGTAAGTGCACAGTGACTCCTGTTGTTGACTTTACAAATTGACACTCCTGTTTATGGCATCAGTAATCTCCCTATGCTCCAGTCAGGGCATGACATTTCTTGTGATGAAAGTGTGAGCCAGAATTATTTCTGCAGATTTCTTCTTGATTCACTGGTCTGAATATTGCATTGCTCTCAGCTGTTAGTGTTTATGGTGGCCGCTTTAAAGCCAAGTGGGGTATTTTTAACATGGTACTTTATATTGGGATTTATCAGAGGGTCCCAGAATGTGATATCACAGTCCTTGGAGCACAGCAAGGTCGATGCCATTTTAACACCAGACACTAAAGAAATGACTTGCTTCAAACCATGCAGCAGGTTAGTGACTTACATGGATGCATCCCAGTGGCCTGACTAGTTCACACAGCACAATAAAACACAGATTTTAGAGCCACCATGTTCTAGAATGCAATATGGAAGTAGCAGGGCAATTTATAATGTGATTAATTTCACGTCCTAGCTCAGCACACAGCTACAATGATGTCTAAGTGCCTACCCACACTGAAGAGGTAGAACTCAAGTTGAAGGAGATCTGTAAAATTAAAAGGGCCTGGTGCATTATCAGACTGATGTAACCCAACAAATCTCGATCAGGGTTGATGAAGGGAGTATCGGTGCTTGGTGTCAGAACTCAAGATGAGTGAGAAACCAGCCAGTGGAACGCCTTTGTTCCTAAAGGAGATTCCCACCTTCCATCACACTAGGAACTACTCCCGGGACTAAGATAGCTTATGTAGAAATGTGGCCCTGTTCTGCCCATTCCAGAAGATCAAAAGAGGTAGAAGAAGGATTATGTAAGTCTCCCAGCCCACCCAATTTGATAACATTTCTTTGAAAGAAAAATCTAAGTAGAAGGAAGATATTACATGAGGTCCTCCTTTCCTTTCTTCCTATCAAGACCCTTCAGTTGATCAGTTAGACAGGAGTAACCTGCAAGTCCTGTAGAAATTGATCTCTCTTTTAAAACAGGTGAAAGGAAGCATTGAACTCTCTCCCTCGCCACATTTCTGATGCACCTTTATAAGTATTCCAGAGGAAAAGGAAATATTATTATCCAGAAGGGTATAAAGACATTTTTCATCCTCCTCCAAGGACTCCCTACCTAGTCAAGTGTGAAATAATCTCAAAGGCTGGCCGCACCCCATGATTGTCCCGGGAGGATGCTCAGCCCAAGAACCCCACCCAGCATCTTGCACTTGCCAAGAACCTCCACTTGTAGGTGGAAGGGAAGCTAATGCCTAACCCACAAGGCAATAAACTCTTGTAGTCCTTGGCCTAGCAAACTCCTGCTGTCCTGGAAGCTAGCCTGTAGCTTATTCAGCCTTTGAAGTTGAGAAGTGAAGTGATGGATTTGCCAGAACCTTGGCTCTGTGATCTGTGCCTCCAGGTTGAACTTAAGGTTTCAAGGAGGTCTCCAGCTGTTCTGTGTGAAGAGAAGAGAACACAATTGCACTGTCTTATTTATTGTGGTTCTGATTGCCAGGGAAGCCAGAAGTACTAAGGTGAGCCTGGCACTCTGGAGGAAACCTGCCTGAGATCAGGGTCACACAGGCTTGCAGCAGGAGAGAGCAAGTCTTCTGTCGGATGGTGTATACATTTAATTGAACAACTATGATTATTCTTGAAACTGTGGGGTTTACTTACTCCAATGTGCCTAACAATATTAGAGGCCCATTCAAACATCCATTAAAACCTCATGTCAGAGTAAGTGACAATCGGATAGGTATGAAGCATCCCACCTTGCTCCCTTGCATATATTGATAATTTCAGATCAAATCATCTGTTGCTGCAAATAAGAGAGCGGAAGCTGCCTAGTTCACTGTGCCATCATGTGCATATCGGCTTCACTGCCTTCCTTGAAAGGTACTCTGAGAATGATCTCCTAAGACAGGTGAAGATGGATTCCCATGCAGAATCACCACTTGATTAGGGTCAAGATGGGAAAAGGCCAGAGTGGCCCTACACACTCTACCCACTCGGTCCCAGATGATAGCCAACACCATTTCAGTGATTCTGTTGAGAGAGAGAAGAAAGAGGGATCGAGAGAGAGATGCTTTGGAGCACCGGTACTTGCTAAGAAGGGATGATGATGTAATCCACCAAGTTGATTACATTCAAAGGGCTAGAATGCTGCCCTTCCTGTCCTCTAGCAATGCACAGTTCCTCGCCAGCACTGGGATCACGGAGGAGCACCTAGAAGTCCGAGATAGGAGCCAGCTTCTGCAAGGATGCCCCTAGCAGGGCCTCACACTTGACTTTCAAGGGCCCAAGTGCGATTGAGCAGCTGGGAGAGCCTGGTGGGAAGGCAGTGCTGGGCCCCCAGAGTGCTGCCCACACGCTCCCCAGGAGGGCACTACCTGGCCTTCCGATTGGCATCTCTGATCTCCTCTGAGACAGTGGGACATGTTTGCAGGTGACCTTCGGCAAGGTCCATTTTATTTTCTTGTCTTTCTGGGGAGTGACTTTGTAAGAGGACCCAATCCCCGGGTTTTTTCCGAGGCAAGATCCCGTTTTGCAGAGAAATGTGATGCTGTGAGGATCCAGGAACAGACTGTCTCACCGGCTTTGCTCTTTGTCTCTCTCCTTTTGTGTTTATCTCCCCCTTTGCAACTCACAAATCCTTGGCCCCTGACTCTTTAGTGCCTGTCTCTGTGTCTCGTACCTCCGCCTTCAGCAGAGGGGACTCCCTGGCAGGATCCCCAGGTAAACATGCGTGGGTGTCTCGGGTCTCTGTAAATCCAAGTGGTTTGCAGGAAGTCTTTGGTCTTGGTCACCGTCCTGCGTGAGAGTTACCCTCTGCCAACAGGCAAGCCCATGACTGAGGCACAGTGTGTCACGTGAGCAATGCTCTTGTGCACACACAGCCCAGGCGTTGCTGGTTCTGTGGCATCCTTTATGAATTTGCCCCCCAGATCTGAGTGTACATGGGAAAACGGTGGGCGTGAGCGGCAATGGGAGCTTTTCCTCATCATTTGGGGGATGAGGAGTCAGCAGGAGAAAAATAGGAAGAAATTGTGCGATGTTGTGCCTTATTCCTACTGACTCTAATTGCACCTTCCCGTCTGTGTGGCCCCTGCCCTTAGCTAACCACTGGCCCATCCTCACCCTCCTCGGAGTGTTCAGATGTGATCATCGTATTCCCTGTGGTCTGTTCATATGAAGGATGCTGTATTTAAAATTTCCAAATCAACTTTTCATTAGGCTTAACCTCTTGTTAATTAAATGAAAGTTACTGGATTTCTTTTTAATCACGTAAAGTAGCTCCTTGTGGAGCTGCACGGTAACTCAATTGAGTAGAATGAAATAAATCTGAACTATCAAATAGCTGGTTATATTATTCTCTTCTCTGGAGGTTGATCTCTGATGCTCATAGAGCAAGTAATGACCAAGGCAGGAGCTTATTTGTTAAATTGCCCGGCAGTTAGCACACAACCCAACTTCCTATACTCCCTACATCCATGTCCCTTGTCCCAGTTTTAAGGCCCCATTATATCCTCTGTCATCAAGAGTTCCGTTGTGTTTTGCTGCCTATGTGATAGGCCCTCAACACTCAAAAAGGCTGTGTTCTGAGACCTCCAGCCTTCAAATCTGCGACTTCACAAGTTTTTATGTTGACTTCTCTTTTCTCTCAGATCACATTTTTCCATCAAAGACTGTCTCTTTTGCATTTTTGTTTTCCTAAGACAAGTTAACTACCTTTTCACCAGTGTGCTTCCTCTCACTTGATGGTGTTTTTCCACTAAGATGTTTTCTTGCTTTGTGAGAGCACACGCCTTCGTGATGATTACTG